CTAAGAATCTGTGCCCGGTGTAAGTGTCCATGCAGGATGAACTTCTGGAAGAACTGTAAGCATCACCTTCCAAAGAGATTGTCTTGGGCCCTTCCTAAATGTATAATAATTTCTTGTGGAAAAGGAGACTGTGCTGTATCCACAAGTTAAAGCCCTAGTACTTCGTGATATAATGCTGGTGTGAGAAATTCAGAGTGTGGCACACGACTTGTGCTCTTGGCCCTGTGCAGTGGGATTGTTGGCCCCTTTGAGAAGTTTTGTCATTATGACTTTACCATGGATTATTCGTTCAGCATCCATTTCTTGGGCCATTGATGGGCACTGTTTTGTTCATTTCTCTATTGTTATTTTTTAACAGACTTTAGTTTTTAGAGCAGTTTTAGGTTCACAGCAAAACTGAATGGAAGGTATAGAGATTTCTCATACACCCTCTGCCCCACACATGCACAGTCCTCCCTTATTATCCACAGCCTTCACTAAAGTGGTACAATTGATGAACCTATAGTGACAGATCAGTATTATCGAAAGTCCGTAACTTAGATTAGGGTTTACTCTTGGTGTTGTACATTCTACATTTGTTTTTTATACCCTGACTTGTTCAGTAAAAGGTTTTATCTCTCTTGAGCCAAGGATGACAAGACACTGATACTTCTCTTCAAGTTTGTGACAGCCCTGGAAGTTAGGCTGGCCAGGAATTGATTTTTCCAGTTTTGAAGGTGAGGATCAGGGGAGTGACATGCTCAGAGTAATAAAGCTGTAAGTGGCAGGGGCGGAATGAGAACCCATTTTTTTCTAAATTTTGCTTTTCCAGAATGAAGTAGGATGTCAGTAGGGCTGTGAGATTTCCCTAGATGCTAATATAACATTTATATTATGGATGCTGTTTTGAATTTCTACTTGATGTATATATCAGTGTTTATTTAGCTAAAGATAATGCACTTGAACCCTTGGGTATTGGCATAGTTTGCTTTGATAAATAACTTTCAGGCTAGTAGAAAAAAGACAATTTGATTTTAATATTAGTCATGTCTGTATATATACATCATCTGTCTGTCTGTCTATCTGTTACCTCATACCATCGCATTTTACATAGAGTGAAAGTGAATGTAAGGAAGTTTGACAAGACAGATCCGTAGAGTGCCACAAGACTTTAATGATGCAATAGGATTAAACCAGTGTGATTTTTTTTTTTCACATTTTCCATAATCACATGCCTCTGTCCCTTGTCTTTTTTTTTAAGTTGAAAATGCTTCTTTTATTATATAAGGCCAGTACAGCTACTTCTCTAAGTTCAACTGTGCATCTCTGTATTGTTCAAAGTGTTACGCCTGTGATGTTGAAGACAATCACTTCCAAGGGTCATCAGGTAGTGGCTTTCCTGTGGGTGTCATCATCTGTCATACCTGCTCCCCATTTCACATACAGTTGACAGATTACTCTAGGAAATTAAGACCTTCTTCCAGGCCCCAGAGTAAACATAATGTTCTTCCACACTTTATGTACCAGAAGCAACAAAGTTCTGAAGGAGACACAAAGATATCACAGGTGTCCCAGCTTATCAGTATACTGTTTCATCATTTTCAGAACAAAGTATATTACAGTGGAGCCCTGATTTGCATTACAATTGGTTATTACAAGATATTGCACAAGGACACAACATGATTCTCAAGATGCAGGGTCACTCCCAGAACAGTCTCTCAACCAGTAAGTGGAGAGCTCACCCCAGGTGCAGAGAGTTGCTTCCTGTATTCCAACTATGTGTTTGAAACAGTGCTTTGCAAGATCAGCACTGATTATAAGCGTTCACAGTTCTGAGACAGTTTCCATTACACATCTGGTAGAATTAAAAGACTTCCTGACTTAATCTTACTGTAGTTAGTATATTAGTGTTATTTCATGTTGTGAGAATTGTTTTTCATTATTCAGTTTAGTTCAAGAGAGAATACAGAATTCGGGCCAAAATTATAACCAGATTACAACCAATTCTCTAAGCTAAAGAAAGTAATTGCTGACGTTAACAATGATGCAATAATTTTCTTCATATGACCTTGTACTGTTTTGTGAACTGCATTATTAAAAATCATGAGCTTAGCAAAAATCTTTACAAGCCAATTCATCGAAACAGGCATTTGGCCAATAAGAATTTATTTTCACAATAATGAAACTTTAGATTTTAGATTTATTTAAGGCTGTTTGCACATGTTTACAGGATATTTAGTTTAACAGATGACAAGACACCCCCCCTCCCCCCTCGGTGAGGCCCTGGTCTAAACATATTTGCTTTACTTATATTGCAAGAGGACAACATTAAACTTGGAAACTTTCGACTTGTGGCACTGGATGATGATCTACACAGGGCATCTTTCAAAAGCTACAATTAAAGATCCACCTAGCTTTTCAGCAATACAAGCTCGATTGAAGTCTTCTAGCCCATTTGCTTGACATTAGTGCTTTATGCTTTGAAATTTCTTTTTGATTGCATCTTTGGAGCTCGCATAGATCATGCTCTCAGAGGTGCTAGCTCTGGTAGCAACAAAAAAAAACCCATCAACTCCTCCTTTCTGGATTCTTTAATTGCATAGCTTGCATCATTCAAAGCATAGCAACAGCCTTTCTCAGGAACCATTCCCACAAAATGCTTGAAAGGATCAGTTATGATTATACCAAAGTCTGAAACCAAGATCTCTTTGCCTTCTTCTACAAGTGATGCACTTTTTGTCTGCACAGAGCCAAAAAATAACACCCTTCTTTCTTTTCTTGATTTTTTTTTTTCTTGTGTGGAAAAATTCCAGACTTTCATAAAAAATGCTATACTTCATCAGCAACTTACACTCCTGAGGCCATCCATGGTGGCGGTCGTGGGGATGCAGGAGAGGCAGCCCCTGCACGAGTCTGCTGAACATCTTCACAGCAGCCGAGCCTTAGCAGCCGAGCCTGTTTGTCTGTCTTTAAAAGACTAGTTAGGCTCACGTTATATATTTATCTGTTAATTTTTCTCTTCTGTGGAGACAGCAAGTTTAAATGTCCATTCTGCTGTGGGAAAGTTCTATCCATATTTCTTTTCCTACAAAGGATATTTTGTTTATCACATTAGAATTTGAAATACAGTTAGACTGGTTATCATAGAACTAAAGCATTAGCAACAAATGAAGGAGGCAGTTGGGAAAGAATTTGGAAGGCTGAGGAGGAAAGGGAGGCAGGGCCCAGAGAGAAAGGAATTTGGGCATGTCAGTGGAAAGAGGTTGGTAGAAACCTTTCTTTACAATTCACTCATTCATAGAAAATATGCATGAGTGAATTGTAAAGAAAGGTGACCCATAATGACATGACACAGGCAGTAGTGTTAGGATCCCGCTTGTGTGATCTGTTAGCTTATACCGAGTAGAATGCCTTATTGGACAAAGCTGTGGCCTGAAGCAAGAAGATGACTATGTTTCCAAGATCTGTCATACATAACACGTTTATGATGGCAACCTGTTGTCTTATACCTGTATACCTATGATCTCTTCTCATTGTAAGTGATGTTTATAGTGTGGCATTCTAATTGATGCGTGTCTTGAAGCATCTTGAAATTCCTTCCAAATTATTATGAAAAGTGAATTGTTAGGTCGTAGGTTTTATATAGGCTGTAGTATAACGCATGTAGGGTTGTTTGATATTTGCAGTTTATGAGAATCTCTTTTGTAGAATTCCCTATTGCTAAACAGAAATCCCTCCCTAACACTGGGTGTGTCAGATTAGGTCATCCAAGAGACCACAACATAAGCATAAGGATTGTTATCACCCTTACTTTATAAATGAGGAATCTTAAAAGGGTTAGTAATTTGCTCATGGTTCATAGCTAGAAGATGGCAGGCCCAAGCCTCAAGCCCAGGTACTGGTAACTTTGAGCTTGAGCTTTTAACAACTCCATGATCTATTGCTGGGTGCTTTACTAAAGATCTAGTTTCCTTTTAGGGCAGTGGAGATACTCTGTATGATGTTATGATGATGGTATGTGTCATTATACATTTGTCCAAACCCAATGAATATATAGTGAGTTCTTAGGTAAACCATGGTCTTTGGGTGATTGTGATTTAAAAAATGGTAAAAAAATGTACCATTCCGGTGAGTGATACCGATAATGGGGGAGGCTGTGCACGTGTGGGAGTAAGGGGTATGTGGGAAATCTCTGCGCCGTCTTCTCAATTTTATTGTAAACCTAAAACTACTCTTAAAAAAGTCTTTAAAAAGAAAAAATACGAGACCCAAAACCAAAAACTTAATCCTTATTTTATTTACTATTCCCAAGTTATGTCTAGTTGTATTGACCAATGAAGCCCAATCAGAGATAAAAAGGATCTAGCTTCCCCAAAGAAAAGGCGTGTGTATCATTCATTAGTGGTACAGTGGGAGCTCTGTGCTCCTCTGTGCCCATGCCGCACTCATTAGCCTAAAAACCTACCATTAGGGGCATGAAGCTGTGGTAAATAATGCTTGTGTAAGAGGCACCTATTGCTTTTGAGCTTCAAATTAGACACTCCCATTACTTCCTGCAGAGGAGGATGGATGCAAGCTTATGTAGCCTTTACATCCCTACATGTTCCTAGGTGTTCATACAATTCATTCTTTGGCTCATGGATTTTGACAGGTCCCTTACTTGGACTTGACTTCTTGTTTTTCATGTTCCCCTCACCTCACTTTGGCCTTTTTCTAGTTCTTAGCATTTTCTCTTGCTCTTAGCTGATCTCAAAATCTTTGTTTTGCCTAAGAAGAGTAATGATTATAATGCTTCAGATGAATTGTGCCTTTTCTGTTAAATTATCTGACATCTCCCAAGCCAGATAATTTCATTAAAGACAATATTAGACCAATTTTGGTGAAAGCTTTGTTTACACGCTAAACCATTTCGGCATGTTCCATAGTTAGAATGGCTCAGTACAATGGTAGCCTGAAAGATCAGGTGTTAATAGGTTTGTAAAGCAGCGGCTTTAAGAGGATGTTCTGTGTTCTTTTTCTAGTTGGCCTGTTGCTGTGGGTCTGCTGGCTGCTCCCTCTGCTGCGGCTGCTGCCCCAAAATCCGACAGTCCCGGAGCACCCGCTTCATGTACGCACTCTATTTCATTCTTGTCGCCGTCCTCTGCTGCATGATGATGTCACAGACTGTAGCTAATGAGATGAAAGAACACGTAAGTCTGCCACTTTTCCACTCTCCCATTTCTGATGGTCGATGCGGGTGTATGGGAAATATCCAATTTAGGGATGGCTCCACCCCTAAATTGTCACTTTGGGTACACTCGCTCTTTGAACCTCCTGGGAAGCCTCTTCAGTGCTTTTCTGCCAAGCAGAAGAACCATTCAACGGCTTCATCATTAGTAGTAAAACAGATACAATCTGATGCTTTTTTTGGAGAAGACTGCATGTTTTGTCTTAGCTTTGTTTATAGCTGTTCCTGATGAGATGTATGTCTTTTCTTGTAGACTTTTATTTTTCTCTTGTTCTAAGGATGGCTGCCAGTATCTCAAGTAGTAGCTATTAAAAACACTTAATTTGACTTTCATGGGAAGTGTGATAAAACCTATGATAATCCCACAGATAATGAGGAGTGGGCTACAGGGTGATTTTTATTTTTCTGAGTATATCACTTGTGGGCTGGGTATCTCCAGGGATGAAGGATGGATTTCCAGCCGTTTCTTGGGCATTGTACGCAGAGGTAGGCCTGGTATGTGATGTGGAGACACGTATAGGACCTTTTCCTGGAATTGCCCTTTAATAGCCTCTTAATCAGCCAGATTACCAGGAGGGAATATGTTGGGATTTTTGAGGGAGTCCAGTAAATAACAGAATCTTTACCCTCTCAGGTTCTGAACAAATTGACCAAAAAATAAATAAATAAATAAAAAAGACTACAATGTCAGCAAGTAGCTACCAACATCACCTTTATCCTTTGTAGAGCTAATGTGGCTTGCAAGGAAGTGGGCGTCCTACTACTGAACCCGAAATGAATCAGACTAACTCACCTGGGAAGCCCACCCCAGGGGCTTCCTCTGCAGGGGCACAGTTTGTGGGGAAGAGTAACAGGTGTGCTCCCAGGGGCAGCTTTCGTCCAAGGAAAAGGAGGAGAGAAAAGGCTAGCTGGGCAAACCTCATTTGCTCTTGTAGACCTACTGCTCAGTACTCATGGAACCCCTCCACAGTGGAGATGGTATCTCAGGAGCAACTCCGAGGAATTGTTTGTTCTCTCCAAGCTTATGCTAAAACTACATGTTATTTTAAATACACTCAAGTGCTTCAAAGCAACCATTTTCTTAAAAGCATTGACATATTCTCATCCATTAGTTAAAGTAGGCCCTTTGGAGTTTTCTGTTGGGTAAAGCTTTTATAATTTTGTGGTTGTGTGGTCTGGAATATACCAGAACTACTGTCAAAACTTGTAAAATTAAGATTTTCCTCTGATTGCTTTTAACAGTGGATCTCTACTCAGTAAGGCACTGTAGTGGAAGCTATAGGGCATTCAAACTTGTGAGAAATGGACCTGATAATCTGGAAGACAAGATATAACGTCTTCTGAGGCATAAAACAGGTAGAAATTAATAAGTGTCATTTGAGAGGATACACAAAGTGCTGTGGAAGTTTGGAGGCAGAGAGACCAAGAACTGAGGCTTCCTCATTTGTTGTCTACACTGGATTTCACTCTGTCTTGGTGGTGTCTGCCCCTGATTCTCTTCCTTTTACCATGGTTTAATCTTGTACATTTGTGACAAGAAGTTTGAGAGGAGGAATACTTAAAGGGTAGGTTTTTACTCTTATTCTGGAGGTCCATTTAATCTCCCACTTACTACCTTTGTTTTTCAAGTAACTTAATGTTCTCTTTTTAAATCCAACAAGCATTGGCTTTGGGGCCCCTGTGGTACTGTGATAGGAACTCTCAGGGTGGACCAGATGTCTATGATATGATCTCTGCTCTTAAGTTTTTAGTCTTAGTAGAATTAAGCTTTGGATCCAAGAAAGAAATTTTGAAACTATACAAATATGTGGTATCTCTTAGTGGTAAACCCTTCAGAAACATTGTTATTGGAAGTAGAGATAATTTGGGAGCCACAGGTACATATTTTAGGATACAATTTTCATAATAATTTTAACATTTGATTACCATCCAAGTAACTTGCCCCATGAAACAGTCCTTAAAATCTCCTGCCAGTATCTATGTTTTCTGGCTATTTGTAGAACATTTAAGAAACAGAAAGTATTGCTAGGGAAGCCTTCATGGAAGAAGTGACTTGTGGGATAATAATGAGTATTTTAATAATATTTATTGTGTGACAGGTTTTATTCTGAGCCTTTTACCGCTATCATCTCAGATCATCACTGCTCTACTCATCTGAGCAGTAGATACTGTCATTATCCCTTCTCTACTGATGAGAAGGCTGAGACATTAAGTCTCCAGCTCTAAGTGATGGAGTTGGGATTCGAACCCAGGCTGAATGTGTTCATAGTGACTAGACTGTGTAGACAGAAGAAAAAAGAACAAGAACAAGGCATATGTAGAAGGACAGAGAGTAGACTTGAGACACGAGTAGGTGAAATGACCGAATCTTGCAGGAATTTCAGTGCTAAGCTGAATCATTTGACCATGGTCTGATGGCAAATGGAAAGCCATTATAGATTCTTGAGTAGGAGGCTGTCGTAGAAACAGATATTTAAGAGGTGAACCCAGCAGTGGTGTGTGTGCAGTATGATTTGACGTCAGAGCAGAGGAAGGGAGAGAGGGAAGGGACTCTTATAAATGGGAGCCTCACAGAGGCTCTTAGGAACGTTTCTATGCCTGTCCCCTGAATGTACTTATTTAAAAATGGTTTGGCTGGGCTTCCTGCATAGGGAATGAAGTCCCTGTGGGTGAAATCAATCCTTTTCCATCTTTAGGGCCTCATAGGGGGCCAGCCATCTGGTCACAAAGTCAGCTTGTTTCATGGCCTATAGAATAGATGCTGACCTCATCCTCAGGCGGTGCTTGGAGGTGGGTGTTGAAAGGTCCCCTTGTGGGGATACACACTGGGCTTCTGCTGCAGTCCTCACCCCCTCATTGTTGGCCTGTGGAAGTGTTTGAGGTTGTGATCGGAGGAGGAGAAAGCGTGTATGCTTGTAACGCCCTGGATGGGAGTGTGTAATTACCTTCCACCCAGCATTCATGTGCAGTGGATGGGAGCACTGTCTGGAGCCACGGGGACTTTTGGTATGTGGGTTAAGACCATGAAGGCAGCAACTTTTTCACTTATTTTCAGTTTTTGCCTTGGTTTCAGAATGCGCCCTGTGTTTAACTTTGAGTAAGAGGGAACTACAAGGAGCTGATCTGCCAAACTTTGTCCTGCTTCTTTTTACTAGGGACACCTCTTTCCCATGAGAACTTTGGCTCAGAGAAAGCTCTACTGTGGCGATCGAATAGGGTGTGATTTTTATCTCTTCCTGGAGTATTTCTCCCATCTCAAAATGTGTAGGAGCCATTTTATTGCAAATCATTTTTGTCAGCAACCATGTAATTCAGGCAGGTATAGTCTTGAGATATTTGATGCCTGGGGAATTAAAAATCCATTTTAGAATGTAGAATGTCAAGGAAGAAATAAAAGGTGAGAGATTTAAGCCTCCTGATCTGCATCACTAAGTCAAGTTGTAACTTCTAGGTTTGGAGGCAGATGATGACACTTTGAAGTTTGGGTACCCAGGGAAGCTATACGGGCATTTTGGGAGGGAGGAGAAAGGAAGGTTCTCTTGTTTTCTGTGGATGAAGGATCTCTAAAATCAACCCTGCCTTGGAGAAGGGGGTACATGTGACTCATGTGGCCCTCAGGCCTTCTTCGCTGCGAGCTCGGTATGCCAGGCCAACGTGGGAAGAGCCTTACATGTTCCTGACCTGGCATCTTAGATCCTTTTTCTCTGTCCACTTGGTCCTTGGGCTGCTCTACTTCATTGAGATGGGTCGTAGGTAGTGCCTGAGATGGCTGAATCTTTGCTCCTCCCCGCTGAACCCAAATACATCTTCCACATTATGGAAGACTGTTTTTTTGTGTGTTGTATGTTTGTTTTAAATTTAAATTTTGAAGAATTATTCTTGTATCGAGAAGAGAGGCAACTAAAAATGTTTATTTTGATAAGTCTCTTTTTGTTCCCTCATTTGTTTTAGAAATGTTTGTAATCTTGCTCATTTTAAGAAACATGTTTTACTTTACACGTTATTCTCTGCTGCCAGGTTTGGGTCAGTTTTCCTTTGAGTGAGTAGTTATGCAGAAACTGTACTCTTGTGATGGTTACTCTCACCCTGGATGAAAGATCTTTCATGGTGGCGTGGTCCTTCAAAGGAACATTGGGCAAGACCTAACAGGATCTGGACAGAAGGAGACTCATGGCTGCAGTTTCCTCCGTCTTAAAAGCAGCTCTTGATTTCCATTCTCTCCCTGGACTTGATGAAAGTCAGCAGTCTGATATTTAGAGCCAGGCCCCCGCCCCACCCGTTAGCCAGTGCTGTACCCGGAGATTTCAGATGAGCCTGGAACTCTCCTAGCCTAGGTATTGTAAATTAGCCTATAGGCACTTGTTTGGGCAGAGGATATATTTTTTTTTAATTTAAATTTGCCTGCCTTTAGAAGGGCTAGTGTGGTCTAGCTCACCGTAGGCCCCATCCCTAGACGTTTCCTTACAGCGTCTCTCACACCTTTTCCCTTTACTCCTTGTCCCCACAAAAGGCATTTGGATTTGCAACTCCTGAAATAGCTTAAATCCTTTGAGTTCACAAGTTTCTGAAAGGTCTGTAAATACCAAATTGAACACTAGGGCTCTTACCTTGCATTAGGGTGGGCACTTGGGAAATTGCTGAGTGTGCTGAAGGGTCTTTGCAAATTTACATGCATAGCCCCAGGCCGAGACCTGAGAAGCTCTTCTCTAGCATAACTAGTCCGCCCCTTTGCGTGCTGGAATTTGGCATTTTTATCCAAGTAACTAGAAGTTTTCCTGATCACCGTGGTCCACTAGGCTCAATAGACCACTCAATTTCAGGACTAATGTCAGGTGGAGGTGTGACACTGACTTGGACCTAAACCAGGCTCCATATTCCCCAAGTTTCAGTCATCACTCCCCCCTCCCCCACAATTTTAAGTACATATTCTAATCACACTCTTTACATTTATCATAAAATCCA